ACTCATGTAGAGTGTGCTTCTTAGCTCAAGTAGATAAATGAGACTAAATGGGCAGCTTTTGTCCAGACGTGAGATGAGAAGGCAGAGAGGGTTACGAGCTGGTTGAATGGACACAGGAAATCAGGGGTGGAAGGGAGGAGTATGCTATCACAGTACAGGGAGAGCAATTAGGGTCACGTAACAATGTATGTATAAATTTTTGTATGAGAGAAATTTGAATTGTAAACTTTCACTTAAACTACAACAAAAAAAAAAAAAAAAAAAAAAGACTGTCTTTTCCCCATATGATAGACTTTGGGCACTTGTCGAAGATCAGGTGACCATACACGGATGGACTTACATCTGGGTTCTCCAATCTGTTCCACTGGTCAATGTATCTGTCATTGTACCAGTACCAGGCTGTTTTGACTATCGTAGCTGTATAGTAGGTTCTGAGGTCAGGTAGTGGGAGTCCTCCTACTTTATTCTTCTTTTTCAATAGTGCTTTACCTTATCCGGGGCCCCTTCCATTTGTAAATAAAGTTAATGATTAGTTTTTTCATCTCTTTAAAGAATGCTGTTGGTATTTGGTTCGAGATTGCGTTGTCTTTGTAGATTGCTTTGGGTAGAATTGACATTTTCACAGTGTTGACTCTGCCTATCCACGAGCATGGTATGTTTTTTCATTTATGTAAGTCTCTTTTGGTTTCTTGCAATAGTGTTTTGTAGTTTTCTTTGTATAGGTCTTTTACATCCCTGGTTAGATTTATTCATAAGTATTTTTTTTTAGAGGTTATTATAAATAGTATTGTTTTCTTGATTTCCTTTTAGTGGTTCTCTATATTGGTGTATAGAAATCCAATGATTTTTATATATTTATCTTGTATCCTTCTACTCTGCTGAATCTTTCTATTAATTCCAGTAACTTGCTTGTGGAGTCTTTTGGGTTTTCTATATACAGTATCATATCATCTGCAAATAGAGACAGTTTTACTTCTTCATTACCAGTTTTGATGCCCTTTATTTCTTTTTCTTGCCTTATTGCTCTAACTAGGACTTCCAGCACAATGTTATATAGGAGTGGTGATAAAAGGCATCCTTGTCTTGTTCCTGTTCTCAAGGGGAATGTTTTTAGCCTCTCTCCATTAAGAATGATGTTGGCTGTTGGTTTTCTATAGATGTCCTTTATTATGTTGAGGAATTTCCCTTCTATACCTATTTTATTGAGAGTTTTTATCAGGAATGGGTGTTGGACTTTGTCAAATGCCTTTGCTGTGTCAACTGAGATGATCACGTGATTCTTTTATTTATGTGGTGGATTACGTTGATTTATTTTCTAATGTTGAACCATCCTTGCATAGCTGGTATGAATCCTCCTTGGTTGTGGTGTATTATTTTTTTGATATGATGCTGAATTCTATTGGCGAGAATTTTGTCAAGAATTTTTGCATCTATATTCATGAGAGATATTGGTCTGTAATTTTCTTTTTCTGTGGTGACTTTGCCTGGTTTTGGTATCAGGGTTATGCTGGCTTCATAGAATGAATTCGGAAGTATCCCTTCCTTTTCTGTGTTCTGAAGTAGTTAGAGGAGAATGTTTGGTAGAATTCTCCAGTGAAGCCATGTGGGCCAGGGCTTTTTTTTTTTGGCGTGAGTTTTTTTTTTTTTTTTTTATTGTCTTTTCAATCTCCTCTCTTTTTATAGGTCTGTCCAGATTTTTAACATCATTTTCTGTTAGTTTGGGTAGATAGTGTGTTTCTAGACATTTGTCCATTTCCTCTAGGTTTTCAACTTCTTAACTTCTGGAATTGAGAACATGGATTTTCTAGAGAAATGGTTCTCAATTTTGGCTGCACATTAGATTCCTCTGGTAAAATACCATGCCTGGGTATGGAATCTCATACCCTGAGATTCTGATATAATCCCAGGGCCTGCAAACTACAACCTGAGGGCCAAATCCAGCCCTGTTCTAGTAAATAAAGTTTTACTGGAACACAGCCCCATTCATTCATTTACATATTATCTATAGTTGCTTTCATGCTATATTAGCAAAGTTAAGTACTTAGAATCCATATGGCCCACAAAGCCAAAAATATATACTATCTGTTCCTATATAGGAAAAGTGCCAACCTCTGAGTGGGAATTTCTTCTAACTAGACCAGAGGTTTTTAACGAGACATGCATTAGAATCATCTGGAAAACGTGTTCAAAATACAAGCCTGGGCTTCACCCCAGTAGATCTGGGGTGATACACAGGAATTCATACTTGGAAAAAGCAAGGAATTCTAAAACACACCCCTGTTTAAGAACCACTGTACTAGAAGACATGAAAGCATCAATAGGCCTTAAAAAATTTAAAATTCTTAGATGGGGGGAAGGAAGGGATGCCCAGTATTGTCCAGGGTTCTATATTTTCTTCCCTGGCAGTTGAGACATTTGTGCTTCTAATATTCACTAACAAAAGTTAGGCCCCAAAGAGAGTATTTTTAAAATCCATTAATAGAAGGCCAGATTGAAGTGGGTATCTGGGCATTCAAATACCCAAATAAACCTAATTGCAGTAATGGAAACTTCTTTTCCTTCAGGCCGTGTTCTAAGGCTTCTCCAAAATTTTCTGAGAGACTTCTGAACTTCCCTTCAAGTTCAATTAAATTTCTTTTCCTGAAGTCACCGTTAGTCTACTTGTGGGGAACAAGCAATTGAACAACAAAGGGATTGCTGTAAACAGACCATAAATAGCAGATCTAAAACATGCTTGCGGAGGAAAACCAGATATGTGTGTTGTAATCAAGGCTCTAAAACTTAGTTCCATTCTAGTCAATGAACAAACATTTAAGGAAACATTTGCTGGTACCCACTTTGGGCAGATACCATGGTGGGCACTGTGGAGATTTCAAACCAAGTCAAGCACAGCTTCTACCCTCCAGGGACCATATGTCTGATGAAAGCATAAGACAATATCCCACATCAATAACGCATAGCACCAGGGCTTGATCAGAGGACTCAGGTATGAGTAGGGAGAAGGAGGACATAAGGACAGGAAGGTAAGCCAAGTCACAGTGTAACTCTGAATGCTGAAGAAAAGCATTGCTTAATTACGTTCAAGGCCACTGACCTCAATAAGCGTTCGTGCTGCCCAGCAGCCCATGACATTTCCCTCACTCACTTTTTCATACCTTCTCTCTCGTCCACACCCACACCTCCTCCTCCATCCTCTCTTTCTTCCCCTGACCTTGCTTCTTATTTCACAGAGAAAAAAGTAGCCACCAGAAGAGAACTTCCACAGGCTCCCACCACCACGTCCGCCTGCCCCACCTCTAGCCCATAGATGCTTTTTTCCCTTCTTTTAAGGTCTTCCCTGAGCCAATAAATGGTAACTTCATTCTTCTGTTTGCTCAATCCAAAAGCCTTGGGGCCACCCCAGGGTTCTTTCTTTCTTTCAACTCCACTTCCAATCCAGCCATTCATCACAAATCCTGTTGGTTCCACCTTCAGACAACATCCACAACCTGTTCACTTCTCATCACCTCCATGCACATCCCTCTGGTCCAAGCCCCCATTGTCTTTCTCCTGGGTTATTGCAACAGCTTCCTAGCAGTTCTCTCTGCCTCTTCTCTTCTCCCCCTACAGTTCATTTTCAATATACTAGCCACCAGTTGCCATCAAGTCAATTCTGACTCATGGCAACCCCATGTGTTACAAAGTAGAACTGCTCCATAGGGTTTTCTTGCTGTATTCTTTATGGAAGCAGGTCGCCAGGCCTTTCTTCTGTGGCACAACTGGGGGGGTTTGAACCTCCAACCTTTAGCTTAGTAGTCAACGGCAAACCATTTGCACTACCCAGAGACCTTTCGCACATAATCCAAACCAAAAACCAAACCTGTTGCCGTTGAGTCAATTCCAACTCACAGTGACCCTATAGGACACAGGAGAATTGCCCCATAGGGTTTTCTAAGCTGTAATCATTACAGGAACAGATTGCCACATCGTTCTTCTGCAGAGTGGCTGGTGGGTTCGAACTGCCAACCTTTCGGTTAGCAGCTGAGCTCTTAACCACTGTGCCACCAGGGCTCCTTGCACATAATAAAAAACCGTTACTGCCGAGTCGATTCTAATTCATAGAACTGCCCCATAGGGTTTCCAATAGGGGATCATAAAATAGCTGTTGAATGAGATTAGGTGGTAGGTATAGCACTCACCTCCCCTGCTACTCTCTGCCCAGGGCCTTTTTCTGGCTGCAGGAGCCCCTCCACCTTCCTGAAGGCCAAGCTGGAAGTGTCGAAGGGTTCCTGGCCCAGAAGCAGCCCTCCACTGATGGCAGAGAACTGAAGTTACCCCTTCATTTGGGATAACTCTGAGCAAGTTCTAAACTGTCACCTAGAGTTGCCTAGAGGGCTAGAGCTCCATTGTCTCTAGTAATACCTAGCATGCTGTGAACCTTTCACCCCCTGACCCACTCCCTTACTGGTGTTTCCTAAGTGTAAGAAACTACTTACACTCAGTTCCTTTCTCAGGGTCCATTTTTGGAGGTCCTAAATAAGACAGTGCAGTCCCTGGGTGGTGCAAACAATTCACGCACTTGGCTACTAACCAAAAAGTTGGAGGTTTGAGTCCACCCAGCGGCACCAGAGAAGAAAGGCCTGGTGATCTACTTCAGAAAACTCAGCCATTGAAATGGAGCACACGTTCTACTCTGACACACATAGGGTCACCATGAGTTGGGGTCAGCTCAACGGTGACTGTTTTTTTTAAATAAGACAACTAGCAGGCACTGAAGGCTTTTGAGCAGGGTGGTGATGTAATCCAAGCTCTGCATAGTTTCCTTAACCAGATAAAGCCATTACAAAGCCTAGAAGGCAGTAGAGAATGATGGAGGTGAGGAGCTCAGTTAAGAGACACCTACAACGCAACCACCATGCTCTAGTAAGAAGGGTTTGAACTGGATGTAGCGGTGTGCACAGGAAGTAAGAACACCAGCCTAGCATTATCACTGACGTTAAACCAAAAGAGAGGTTACTTGCCTTTTATATCTCCTGATACTGGATCTTCAGGACTAGGAGCAGAAATAGGAAAAATGGGAATTCCTATAAAAAATAGTTTATTAAAAAATACAGAAAATGATTAATGAGACAGTATTGTCAAACATTAAATTCCCTTAACTAGGAAAAAGCCCTCTCTAACTTTGTGAAAAGGTGCAGGCAGAGACTAATTTAAAGAAAGGCAGTGTTGCTCTATTTCAAGTGTCCAGTAACTGAAGCCAGATTGGTCAGGTGTTTTGATTTGTAGATTAATGAACAGAAATGGATGTTCTGTGCTCACAATAGCACAGAAGTCCAATCCTCATCGAATTTAGGCTTAAAACATGGCCTGTTTTCTACTTCACTATGGGCTTGGCTTCGTTAACACCTTCATTATTTTTTTAACGTGAAATTGAGAACAGCTTTTTAAAAATATTCTCTTTCAAGTGTTTTCCTTGAAATTGTGTTTATACCATAAAATCTCTTCAAGTTTCTTTTTTCCTTAAAAAAGGTAAATCCAATTTTTTGCTCAGTCACAGATTCTAAACTGATTAAGTCACCATGTGGTGTCATCAGATTTGGGCTTAAAACATTGGTTCCTTTAAATATAAGGTGATCACTAATTCATCATCCAAACGAGGACACTCCTGAGAGTGAACGTGGGTGCTATTCTAACAATTACCCTGGGCCAGCAGGTATGACGTGGGACCTATAGCCACTCAATTCACAAGAACCCTGAACCCACATCCCCACAATTCATCCTAATAGACAATTCCAGTGACTGATCTGCAGAAGTTGTGAAGAGTGGGGATGGGCAAAAACTAATATTGCAATGAGGGAGGTCTCTTCTTGAGCCAGTTTGTCTTTGTTCTAACATAAACGTGTAGTTTTTACATGGCTGCAGAACAAACAGAACCCTGACTCAGATGTCACGATTTGCATAGCTAATTTCACATGCTCTCCTGCTTCTTGTAGGGGGCCCTGGGTGACACAAACGGTTAAGCACTGGACTACTACTTGAAAGGCTGGCGGTTCAAACCCACCCACAGGCACCTCCAATGAAAGGCCTGGTGATCTGCTCCTGAAAGATCACAGCCTTGAAAGTCCTATGGAGCACAGCTCTACTCTGCAACACATGAGGTTGCCATGAGTTGGAATCAACTGCATGGCAACTGGTTTGGTTGTTTTTTTGTTTGTTTTCCTGCTTGATGTTGCATAGTGCTTCTGGCTGATACAGACATTTTTCTCTCTGAGATACAGGGGTGTTCACTTTGATCACTGCAGTGGGTAGAGGTACAGGCCCATGATAACTTGGCCCACTGTACAATGGGGAATAAGAAATACATACACCTGGCCACTCAAAACATAACACATTATCTGTATATAAACAAAAATTTAGAAGCCTATACCAGCTCTTCTACCTATGAAGAAAAATCTCACACATGGGTTTCTATTAATTTGAAACTGCCAATATTTGATCCTTTTGACCTACTGAAATGGCAGTTTCTACAGTACAACCTAATCCTTTGGAGATAAATAAAACTATGTTGTTGTTGCTAGTTGCCATCAAGTCGATTCTGACTGATGGTAACCCACGCGTGCAGGGTAGAACAGCTCCATAGTTTTTCAAGGCTGTGACCTTTCAGAATCAGATCACCAGGCCTGTCCTCTGAGGCAGCTCTGCGTGGTTCAAATCGCCAACCTTCCAGTTAGTAGTCAAGTGCTTAACTGTTTACACCACCCAGACACTCCAGATAAACTATAAAACCAAACCAAACTCATTGCGGTGGAGTCAATTTCAACTCAAAGCGACCCTAGAGGACAGAGTAGCACTGCCCCATAGGGTTTCCTAGGCAGTAAATCTTTACGGAAGCAGACTGCCACATCTTTCTTCCACAGAGCAGCTGGTGGGTTCGAACTGGCTAGCAGCCAAGCACTTAACTGCTGTGCCACCAGGGCTCCTAAATAAACTATAGAACATATAAAGTTTGTATTCCAAACTTTTGGAAATGCTTTCACATAAATACAACCTACCTGACCTCACTTCTGCCCCCTCCACCCCGACCTGACTTTCAAGTCCTCAGGTCTCAATGCACAAAGCCCAGCTATGGAACAAGAGAGGCCTCTCATTCTGCAGCACGTACTTACTTAAGCAAAATGGGAAATTGTAATATCCAACCGCACACTCCTCACAGTAGTCTCCACGGAAGTTCGGCTTACAGTAACAGTGACCCGAGCCCGTCTCACAGCCATCCGCGTGTTCAGGGTTACAGCTGCAAGCTGCGAGAAATCCAAGTGTTCAACAGACACATCCTTCACTGCACTTAAGACAAACATGACCCAATACTCCTTGGGCAGTGTTTACTATGTATCATGGCTCTATAGTTATTCTCGAAGGGGTCTCGCCTGTTTTCCACTTCACTCCTAATTGATGGTCCTCATTGACTGAACCTCACGGGGCCTCAGAGATGAGCTTCAATGAGCAGCCACACTGCGAAGTTCCTGAGAAGGTAATTCATTACATTTAGCATTGCCCAGCTCCCTGGGTAAAGGCAAGCCTGAACAAACCTAAACCAGAGGCACTGGGGTAGGGGCGCGGTATTAGTCCTGGTGGCCACTGGGCACAGCCCTTCCTCGCCATGGGCCAACACTGAATGCCCACACATGGTCATTATTACACAGTTGCAATGCAGCCACAAGTATGGGGTTTCTCAACACTGATATGTGATCTGTAGACAGCATAGCAAGACTGCACCCATAACCTAAATGTTATATCTGAGTGACATGGCTTCCTGAAGGCCCTTTTTGCAACCAAACAGGATTACTAGGCTTGCATTTCATACTGACATAGTTGGGGTATAGGTAACTTGGTAAATCCCCATTTGGGGTTTTCCTTGACCAGGCAGGTCCTGGACAGGAACACAGGGCCATAGCTCATCTGAGCACATTCCCCGTGAGGAACTGGGAGACTGGAAAAGGTTGAGCATCAAGCCTTCCCCAGCCTGGCATCTCCTAGTATCCTTTGCTTAATTTGTTTAGAATTTATGTGTCTTTCTTGCTAGTTAACCTTCTAACACCTCTGTGGGAACATTACAGTGAAGAAGAAAGAAACGATAAAAATGATGAAAACATCTGGTTACTAGCAAGGCTCATTCACAACGTTCTGTTTTCCTTTGCCCAGTCCTATTTTTTGTGGGCTCCGGAAAAGTGATGGACATACTTGTTGCATGATGTGGAAGAGCGAAGAAAAGTGGGAACACACTTTTCAACAACTAAGACTGCCCTAGAGAGAGAGACAAGTCCAAGTTTTCACAGTCCATGGGCTTGGATGTCCTCAGATGCTAATGCTACGATGAATGAATTCAGGGGCTGGAGGGATTATAGGCATAGAGGCCAAGTTAAAGGCTGGAATTATTTTCCAACTGTGACAACCAGAGAACCTAAAAGAACCAAGTATTATGTAGGCTGTAGATTACATAAAGGCCAAAGTCCATAATCTGACCTATGACTGGTATTTCCACAGGGAAGAACAATGGCACTTTTCCGTATAACGAATGTGGTACAGGCAGCGGCAACAGACAGGTATTGGCTATACCCTGGGCCTACCATTTAGTTGTTCTGGGACCTAGGGAAAAGATTTCACTACTCAGACTCTTTCTTTGGCTTCCTCATATCTAAAATGAGAATAATAACACAGTGTCCTAAGTTTGTTATGATAATTAAATAAGACATCTGTGAAAGTACTTAGCCAATGCCTTTTTTGCATGTAGCAAGTGCTCAATAAACTAGTTTAAGTGACTATTATTAAGTCCTTGTGAAATTATTACTATGTTGTCTTGACGCTAATTCTGGCAGCTGTGTAGCTATCGGAGACCACAGAAATAATGTCGAAACAGCAGAAAACGGAGAAACGAAAATTTATGGCAGGCTTACTATGTGCCAGGCCAAATGCTAAGTGTTTTCCTAGGTGCGTTAGATGGCACGTCACGTAATCTTAAGAAACGTATTATCACTTCCATTTTTTGTTGTTGTTGTTGAGCAATATACAGCAAAATATACACCAGTTCAACAGTTTCTACCTGTACAATTCGGTGATACTGATTACATTCACCCAGTTGTGCAGCCATTCTCACTCTCCTTTTCTGAGTTGTTCTTCCCTCATTAACATAAACTCATTGCCCCCTAAGGCTCCTATCTAATCTTTCGAGTTGCTGTTGTCAATTTGATAATGTATAGTTTGTAGAAGAACCTAATGTTTAAGGCAGGTATTTTTTTACTAGTTAAGCTAAAATACTATTTGGTTTTAAGAAGACTTCAGGGAGTATTTTTGGTTTAAAGATGATCTCAGGGCAATAGTTCCAGGGGTATCACTTCTATTTACATACAACAAATCTGAGGCTTGGAGAGATTATACAACTGCCTGAGGCTAGTAAGGGGCAGAACCAATAATATGAAGAGATGGAATGAAGGGAATTACTATCCAATCAGAATTTAACCTGATGGTCTCCCTGAAGCAGTGATCCCAGTCTAAGATACACCAAGCTGAGATGAAACTTACGGATGCAGCCATGAGGGGCGTCAGCTGGAACACCATGAGGGCGGTAGTAACCCTTAGCACACATTTCACAGTTTATACCAGCAGTGTTATGCTAGAAAGAAACAAAAGAAACTTAGCAGAAAGAGTACTGGATAAGTCCTTATATTGTGCTATTCATCCAGAGAAATAAGCTGATGAGGGTATAATTTTGTCATATATAGCTGTAATTTCAAAGTCACTAAAAAAAACAAGCACTGATCTTGACCATGAGTTTCCAAGATGTACCACAGGACATCAGCTTAACTTTGGCTCTGGAATGTTTTTCCCATTGGAATAGGAAATGAGGGGAAGGTCCCTGAACTTGGCCGCTTAGGCTTTCCCCTCTACCACAGAATTTGCTTAATGAAGCACCTGCCATTTGAGTGAGAAGAAAACTGAAGAGGACTATACCCATAGATTCATTCCAAAGAACTGAGGAATGGATAAGTCACATTTGGGTTTAACTCAAGGAATAAAGGGTCGTGCGTGCATTAATATCTTCTCCAATTTGGGAAGAAATAGCACATACAGACCCTCTTCTCTCTTGTTCTAATTTTGACTGTGCTTTAGTCATGAAACCATTTTCCAAAACATTGCTATTACATGAATGGAAAAAGTAGGCATGAGTTTTGTACACAGAGCTCATTTTAAAGTATAATATGAGGCAGCCTTTTATCGTTCATAGTTAATACTTGTAATTGCCTCAAAATCAAATTACCCAACATGCATCATCAGTTTCCAAGAACTATACACCATGGATTTAGCTCAGTCCAGGCTCCCTCTCTCCAATTTGAAAATAACTAGGAGAGCAGTGTTCTTTCACTAATGAAAGGAAAGGCAATGGGAGTTAAAAGAACAAATATAACATACTTTGACCCACACAAGAGTCTGCATAGAAGGACAGAGGGAAGAACAAAGACCCTTTCTGTATCCCTTTCCCAGTTTCAGATGAGTTTATTAACTACAGGCTTCTATTACTACCACTCCTTGTCCTGTGGGCCAAAATCTGAATTCACTTTAATATTGAGGTCTAAAATCACACTGGCCATTTCTCTGTCTTCACATTTGCATGCATAAACATTACGGGCAAATAAGAAACATCTGTAGACCATCTTCCTTCCATTAAATGCCAATTAACCCCTCCACTCTGCTGTTTGCCACTGTGACATATAACAGAGACAGGATATCAGTTTAACGCTGGCTACAGAGTTTTTCCTATTGGATAGGAAATGAGGAAAAAGTCTCTGAAGTGGGCAGTTCAGGCTTTCCCTTCTCCCCCAGAATTTGCTTAATGAAGCACCTGCCATTTGAGTGAGAAAAAAAATTCCAAAGGGCCTATTTTCACAGAGAAGTCATATTTGTAAGACAAAAAGAACAGCAATGAATGGGAAATAGCTGAGAGAGCAACAAATACTCTATGGATGGAAGAATGCCTGTATTTGGCTTTCATATACCTGGTGATTCTCTAGCACCTGCACCATACCTTGAGTGACTACACATCATTGTGTCCATAGATACCATGGACATGATTGGATCAAGGCCCAGGTCAAGGACCAAGGACACTGGTGGCTCCAAAATTTCTATATTGGAGAGACTAGGGGAAGCAATCTTGCTAGGAGGAGAGTAGGGGCTTGATGTCTCATTTGCATGATACTACGTAAGATGAGAAAACCTCAGGTATCCAAGAGTGGGGTGGGTGCTGATGGAGTCGTTGCAGGACTAAGCTCACCTCACACTTAGCTCCTCCTTTCATGCTGCTCCTCCTTTCATGCTGCCAACACTCAGAGAGACTTTCTGTGGACTGCTTGCCTGGAAATCTCGGGCCCTGCTCTGCTAATTCTTAGGTCAGGATTCTGCCAAGCAGTACTTTCAAAGGTGCTAGGTGCACTGGTTAAGGGTTTGGCTGTAAACCAAAAGGTCAGCAGGTCGAATCCACCAGCCGCTCCTTGGAAACTGGGTCGCTATGAGTCAGAATCAACTCGACAGCAATGAGTTTTGGTTTTTGGTTTTCAATCTTCAGGTAATCCCCATCGCTCCCCTTGCTCACTCGTGTTTTCGTTTTTGTTTTTTTTTCCCCTCTCTCTTTCTCCCCCTCCCTTCCTCGTCTCAATTCCTTGACTATACCTACAAAGCTGTTGCTGGCTTCCATTCCTGTGTACCCCAAGCACTGAGGACATGGAACTTGGGTTGGGCCTTAAAGGATGGAAAGAATTCTCACAGGCAGGGATAAAGAGAAATTTCTTTTTTATGTGTCTTTCTCTTTAGGATGAGGACAAGGAACTTGAGACAAGGACTATAACTGTTTATCTAAGTGCCCCCAGTGCCTGATCCAGTGCCTGACACATAATGGACATGCAGTAACGATATGATCAGTGAACAAGAATGACCTCATCCAGGAGGAACACAGATATGCTGGGTGGTCTGAAGATGAGACCCTCATTCAGTGTCCATACTTCCCTTGTGTGAACATGCTCCTTCTTGCCTCCCCTTAGGAACTCTTTGAAACTGTCTCTATTCCAGATCTTGCTGATGAAGGGGAAACCCTGATGGCGTAGTAGTTAAGTGCTATGGCTGCTAACCAAAAAGTCAGCAGTTGAAATCCACCAGGCGCTCCTTGGAAGCTCTATGGGGCAGCTCTACTCTGCCCTGTAGGGCTGCTATAAGTTAGAATTGACTCAATGGCAATGCGTTTGATTTTTTGGTTTGCTGACGAAGGGCATCTTTTATCCTCCCTTAACAGAACTCCTCCATTGCAACGTTTGCAACATGGCGCACGTTTGAAATTTGCAGGGTATCAGTGACTCCCTTTATTGCTCCTTCTGGCACACATCTTAGAGAATAATTCCACTAGATCTACACAGCAAAGAACAGTAAAAATAATAACCTAGATTCTTCTGCTCACTTGATCCCACCTGTTTTAGCTTTTTGCACAGCTCCTAGGATACAAACCATCACACCTTACTGTCTTTAGAAGAAAGTGGCACTAATTAGGAAGATCTTGCTTTTTAAGAAGGTAAGAAGGGAGATACAGGTGAAGAGGCAGCTACCTAAATGATTTGGTAAAACTGTTCAAGATGTAAAATTTATCATATATAATAATATAATTTTCACTATAAAAAATTAAGTTGGCCATGACTTTGTTTTCTAGATTGTTAGAACTTGTTCTGAAGTCTGATGTTAAGTCAAAACCAAGTTCCATAGTTTTCCATGATCTTCTCAATAAAGTTTTCTAGTTCATTCACTATGAAGGCATCATTTGTTAGCAAACGGCCATGACAACAGAAGGTGGTCTTAGCGCTATAGCTGACAAAAATCTCTAGCCATGGCTGGGGCAGGATTTTTCTTGATAAAGCCTAATCCATAGCACGAACTCTTTTTATCAATCTACAGGCATAATGTAGTATTTCAAAGGTAATGAGATGTGTTTCACATCCAGTGGTATGGTAACTGTGATTGTTAAGGTTGTGTGTCAGTGTGGCTGGGCCATGATTCTCAGTGGTTTGGCAGTTATGTGATAATGTAATTATCCTCCATTTTGTGATATAATGTCATCACCTACATGATGTGATCTGATGTTATTAGCCAATCAGTTTTAAGGGGAGTTTCCTCGCAGGCATGGCCTGAATCCAATATACACAGATGTTCTGGCAAAGCTTGCTGGCTTTTGCTTGCTCTGGATCCTGTACCTGGCTCGTCATCATCCTACCTCTGTTTCTTGGAACTTGAGCCTGTGGACTGCCTACCGATCTTGGGATTCATTGGCCTTTACAGCCTGTGAGCCAGCAGCCTGCCGTCTGACCTGCCGATTTTGGGTTCATCAGCCCTTGCAGCTACATGAATCAGGAGAAGCCTCCAGCCTGATGCCTGTCCCATGGACTCAGGACTTTTAGGACTTGCTAGCCTCTACAACCACGTTAGCCATCTCCTCAAGATAAATCCCCCATCTGTCTGTATACACATATATATGTGTATATATACACATACACACATATACATATGCATGCACACACAAACTACATCATTGTATAACTGCCAAACCACTGAGAATCACGCCCCACCCAAGCTGACACACAATCTTAACCATCATAGTTCACCACCCCTGGTCAACTTGGCACCTATACAGACATATATATATACACATGCTTCACTGGTTTTGCTTCTCTAGAGAACCCAGCCTAAGACAGTAACTGAGATTATTTTGTCAAGGTAAACCTCATGGCCAAAAAAACAATAAAGTACAGAAAAACCTTGCATACATAAAAAGACTTCTTGAAAATTCCAGAAAATAGGAAAGACAAATTTCTCCCAGAAACTGTTCATCTTTTCTAAACTATCCTTTTTTCTATAAGAACTTCATAATCAGTCTGTCACTGATTCTAAAATCCTGTTGAAATTCTAATTTTGATCACACTGAATTTATAGATTCATTTCAGTGATATAGGATATTTATAATATTAAGTCTAGAAACACATTATACTTCTCCATATAGGTCTTCTTTTATAAACTTCAGTGAAGTTTTATAGGTTTGACTGCAGCTCCACAATTAATTTCTTCTATCTGTTGCTTCTTGGAATGCTGTATCCCCAAATCACTCCAACATTCACAGCTATGTTCTGCATGTATATGTTTCTCCTTTTGGTCTTTCTGGAATCTCTTGAAATTGAAATGATAATCTTTCTTATTTTTCATGCTATTATGGATTCTGGAGGCAGGGAGCATTTCTCTTTTTAAATATCTTTTCTGTCATTTTTTGGGATTTGTTGCAGGTAGAAATCTAGCCATAAGTACTTGGTCTGCTTCCTGATCCCATCTTTTTGCTCTTTGTGGTCTATGTGTGTGTGAGAGAGAAACAGTTTGGAAATAATGAGACCAATGCATTAAGGAGACAAACAGTATAAGATTCAGATCTGAAGTCATGTCTCCAGGAAAGGGCTAAAGAGTTTGTTTTAGTTAACAGAGATAAAGTATCTTCAAGAATCATCTCAGACAACATGAGTAATCCTCAATCTTAACTAAGAACATAAAGCTTTCACTGAAGGGAAAAAAAATCAAGGAGTCAATCCAAAAACGTGC